GACAGACAGACAGACAGACAGACAGACAGATGTTCTTTCTGCAGTTTGGCGGTTCAAATCTCACCGGCTCAAGGTTGACTCAGCCTTCCATTCCAGAGGTGGGTAAAATGAGGACCTGGATTGTTGTTGGGGGCAATATGCTGACTCTGTAAACCGCTTAGAGAGGGCTGAAAGCCCTATGAAGCGATATATAAGTCTAACTGCTATTGCTATTGCTATAGATATTAGATAAACAGAAAGAAAGAGATATAAGATGAGATAGATAGATAGACAGACAGACAGACAGACAGATGTTCTTTCTGCAGTTCGGCGGTTCAAATCTCACCGGCTCAAGGTTGACTCAGCCTTCCATCCTTCCAGGGTGGGTAAAATGAGGACCCGCTTAGAGAGGGCTGAAAGCCCTATGAAGCGGTATATAAGTCTAACTGCTATTGCTATTGCTATTTCTAGAGCCTCATCTTTTTTACATCATGGTGACCAAAACTGCGTGCCGCACCCCAAGTGTGGCCTTAGCAAGGCCTTATAAAGTGGTGTTAACACTTCACATCATTTTGATACCTGTGAGTGAAAATCGGTAACATTTAACTTCACACATACACATATTATATTCCCCCACAATCTGTAAGTCCCATTGCTTATTAGAATGCTTTCACATAATTAGCCGCTTCGCAGCCTCCGTCAAAGGTTAGAAACCAGACCTTTTCATTATTCTGAGTTGAGCGTTTCATGTAACATGCCCAGACGCAGCTTCAATGACAACGCGGAGAATAAAATGCTTATTTGAAACCATTCTACAGGTAGTCCTCGACGTACGACCACAATTGAGCCCCGAAATTTCTGTCGCTCAACGAGGCAAGTTGTTCAGTGAGGTTTGTCCCATTTTACGACCTTTCTTGTCTCAGTTTTTAAGTGAACCGCTGCAGTCGTTAAGTTAGTAACATGGCTGTTAAGGAAATCTGGCTTCTCTATGGACTTTGCTTGTCGAAAGGAAGATCACATGACCTCAGGAGACCGCAACAGTCATAAGTACATGCCAGTTGCCAAGGGTCTGTATTTTGATCACATGACCACGGGGAGTACAATACTCATTAAGTGTAAAAAAACAGTCATGTCACTTTTTTCAATGCTGTTGTAAGTTTGAACGCTCACTGAACAAACTGTTGTAAGTTGAGGACAACCTATACTATGCTGTCATTAAGTGTTATCTTTGCCACGTACCTCTAAACTACCATTAAGGGATGAACTGGCAAGAATTAAGCATCACTTCCAGAACAACTTTAAATTTAAAAAGAAATTATCCTGTTTTGACTACCGTATATACAGCTTACTATGTACTATGTATCCTTATCTGAATAAATTGAGGCTCTGAACCACGTTTTAACTGAAATAAGACATCTTCAAATCCTGGCTTACAAGCCGTCTTGCTTCAGATACTGAAGAAAATCCAAAATTTAGGAACTGGGTTTTAAGTTGAAGTCCAAATTTTTAATGAAAGGCAGAAGTTTCTTGGCTAAACCGGAGTCCTTAGAGGGGTGACACAAGGCATCCCGTCCGTCATGTGAAAACAAGATTTAATGGTGGGGTGTATTTTTTTTTTCTTTTTTCCCCCCTTGAGCTAAATTCTGACTTTCGTAGCGAGTGATAGGGCTGGTAGGCTGGTCGTTTGACAAAGCAAGAATCATCGGAACCAAACACGATAAAATTAAATATGTCAAATTTACACCATAGAAGAAACAGCATGCTTGTTTGTTCTCAGATGCGGAAGAAGCCGCTTTAAACCGTCGGCCACTGAAGAGCCGTACCCCCAAATTTCAGCAGGCAAAGAGATTGTAAGGAAGAGGCACCCCCAAGCTCTAAATGCAAAAATGTTGTTTTTCAATTGCATCACCCTTTTGTCTTCCCATGAGTCAGATCCCAGCAGCCTGAATCAGAGACGCACAAAGCCATGCGGCCTGATTGGGTTGAGATCAGTATGGTATGATGTGTAAAAGCAGGCCATGATGGCTTGTTCCATAAACCACGGTTACAGCAAATGGTTAACCCAGATGTAAGCAAGACTGGGGAGGACAGCTCCCGGGCTTTGATTTCCATCTGTCCGGCATGGATTTATTGCAGTGTTTGGGGTTTTATAATCGAAATACTAATCTAGGCGGTTGCGAAATTGTAGATCCCTCCAGGAGGCTGGAAAATTGGGGAGTTCCTCTTCCCGCGGGTGGATAGTTAAAGCCTGAAATTCCCAGGAGGGAGAGGAGTTTTAGGTGGCTTTGGAAAGAGGGCGGAGGGAGGGAAGGGAGAAAAAGATAGAAGGATGGGAGAAAGGAAAGAGGAGGATCAAGATGGAAGGAAAGAGAAAAGGAAAGAAGGAAGGAAGGGATGGAGGGAAGGAAAAGATGGAGGGGAAGATGGAATGAAGGAAAGAGAAGTTAAGAGAAAAGAAAAGGAAGGTAGGAAGGAAGGTAAAGAAAAATGAAAGGAAGGAAGGAAGGATCAAGATGGAAGGAAAGAGAAAGCGAAGGAAGGAAAAGATGGAGAGAGGGAGGGGAAGAAAGGAAGGGGAAGTTAAAAGTAAGGAAGGATGGAAGAAAGGAAGGAAAGAAGGACAGGGAAGGAAAGAGAAGTAAGGGTCAAGACGAAAGGAAAGAGAGAAGGAAGGAAGAAGGAAGGGAGGGAGGAAGAGAAGGGGGAAGAGAAAGAGAGGAAGGAAAAAAGCAGAGGAAAGGAAGGAAAGAAGGAAGCAGAGGGAAGAAAAAGAAATTTAGGAAGGAAAGAAGGAAGGAAAGTTAAGAGGAAGGAAAGAAAGAAGGAAATCGAAGTTAAGAGGAAAGAGAAGGAAGGAAGAAATGGAGAGAAGGAAAAGACAGATGGAAGGAAGGAAAGAGAACTTCTAATGTATTTATGGGATGAATTTAGTGACTTTTGTGCAAGTAAATCCCACAGACAGGCGGGGGGGGGGGGGGGGGGG